CAAAGTGCCTTGAGCAAGCTCTCCAGAAACCAGCACCAGCTGTCCTTGTTCTCAATCTCTGCAGTTGCCCAAGCAATTGGGAAGATGGCATTATTGCCATCTTTTCCAACTGCAACCAAGATCTGCCCAGGGTATGCCCCTTTTAGATGGCACCCATCCACCCCAATTACTGGTCTGCAACCAGAAATGAATCCATCCCTAAGTGCAGCTAAGCACACAAACATCCTCATAAAAATTGGTCTTTCAATTTGACTAATATCATCCACCACCACATTACACTCACTCCCTGGGTTCCATTTCAGCAGTGCCTTCCCATAGTCCCGAACCTTTAAGTATTGCTCTGATGAAGAGCCATATATTATAAGCTTTGCCCTGCTTCTAGCCAACCAAGCCTTGGAGTATGTAATTTTGATCCCCAAGTCATTCAAGGCCCTGTCCTGAATCTGTTTAATCTTCCATCTGGGGTTGCCCCTGAACTCCTCCAAGTACCTGTCAGCAAGGAACTCTGCTGTCACCTTGTTGTTCATTTTACTCCTAACACACCTATGCTTCAGCCTTAGTGTCTTAATTTGCCAAGCCTCTGATTTCACAAGCCTTGTTGCATAGAACTTGAACCTACACCTAACACCCTTACTACATGTACACTTCACTATCCTACAACTGTTCTTATTATACACACACTTGCATTTCCTTTTGCAATATGCTGTTAGCCTCTTTGAATCATTGTGAAGAAGGTAATACTCATACCTATTTTCAATTGCATGTTGTCTCAAAGCTTTTCTCATTGTTTGCACATCACTGAACCTTTGACCAACTACAAATTTGATAGCCCTTTCAAAGTCTGTCTCAGGGTTAAACCAAGTAACACTACCCTGATCATCATCTGAATCACCTTCCACACTCTTTAGCTCATCAGAATCACAAGCTGCCTCCTCTTCAACCCTCACTTCAATTTTCTGTAGATTTCTTTCTATGTCAAACCCTGTGTCCTCATCATCACTTTGATCCCCTCCTTCAGTAACTCCCCTCAAACTGCCTTTCACCTTACTGTTAATATGGTCTAAATTTTTCTTCAACCACTCTTCATCATCATCAAAGTATAAGTTCTCCTCTCCCTCATCAACTTCTAACTCAAAATCACTCAACTCAGAATCAGAAGAATCTGTATCACCATCCTCATCAGTAAACACATCATTGTCATCCCTTAAGCTCCTCACTCTTTCTTTTATTTTTCTCACTAAATTAGCATGATTTCCAGTCTCATACCCAACCTTAGCCTTACCCTTATCTGCAGCAGTGAGTTTACCCTTCCCTTTATGTGTATTAGCATTCACTTTCTCTGCCCTAGGAAGCCTCTCCTCAGCCTCTCTGTCATGTATAACAATGCCTTTTAACCTAGGGCTTCTCCTAAATGGCTCTTCTTCAGTGGGCTTACTAATTTCTGGGCTGGGTTTATATACTTTAGGCCCACCAAACCTCTTTTTCAGTTCCTTCCTTTGTGCAGGGGTTAGCTCATTCCCAGCTATACATTTGAAGGGTGTTTTGTTAGTCCCTTCAATTGGCTCATGACTGGTAACATACATCTCACATGCCCCCTCTTTGTTCACAGACTCTAGGAAACCATTCACCTCACCATCAACAAGCTCCCTTTTACCATTCACCCAAGACTTGCCCTTTTGTTTATACCAGCAACTAAACCCCCTAGGAACCTTCACATTCACATACACAAACCCATGTATAGCTGCTTGCCTCAAAAAGTGTACATCTATCTTATTTTTTTCCACTTTTCTCATCCAATAAACCCACCCACCATCCCAAGTTAACACCCTCCTATTTTTACCAGCTAAAGAAGGTATAAAGGCACCCCCTACTGTAATTTTTAAGTCCACTGTGTCCATTCTGTAACAACACCAACAAAAGCACACACAACAATAACCAATTTCAGTAATTACAGTAAACAACAACAACCAATTCACCAATTACAGCAAGTAAAAGCAATTCACATTGACTGTGCACTAAATTAACAGCAAACAAGTAAATCTAATTAACTAATTATTTAACAAATGCACACTCTAATTCAGTCAAAGATTCGCATAATTAGGATTTATAATACTTTAATTCACAGATTCCCAAAAAAGGCATACTTTACCCCAATTGACAACCATAAATCCAACGAAATGTACTAATAAAGGGTTTAAAGTACCTCTTGTAGTCAGGAATCTCGATTTCTGTCAGCAAATTACCAAGCTTTTGGTCCCCTCACCCTGTGGAAGATGACAAGAGAAGCTGATGTGTTGCAATTTTGTGGTTCCAGCTCGATTTCAACCACCCAAATCGATCTAGGGTTTCAGTTTTTACAGAGAAAGAGAAAAATCAAAGGAGAGAGAAGCAGTTACAGTGAGAATCAAGAAAAATCAAAGGAGAGAGAGACGAAAATTGATGAGGAAGTGAGAAATTTGGTGAGACATTGATTATGGAAGGTGAGAAAAGGAGGAAACAGAGGGAAATCGATTTTAAAAGAATTAAATTGGAGGGAAGTGACAGTTAGCTGGGCCCCACAAGCGTTTTCCGTCACCTGAGCTCAGATGAGGTGGTAAAACTGATGTTTAATTTTTTTATGAGGTGGTAAAGTAAATGTTTTTTTTTTGGAGGTGGTAAGTTCGACAAAGTCATTATTTGAAGGTGGTAAAAATGAAAATTTCCTTTTTTTAATGTTATTGTACTATGTACTAATGATTAATTTGAGCATTAATAAACAAATTGATAATTTTAGGTGACAAAACGTTATCAAAGTTAATTAATTACTTAGTTCAAAGTATAGACCACGTTTTGCCTTCGGTACGTTGTTCTTTATTTCTCTATTAATATTTATCGATTGATAAGTTATTTTTAACTTTTGATTTATACTTGTGATTTGTGAATTGTAATGCATTGATGATTAACAAACTAGTCGCTTATGAATGTATGCTTGATTGCTTAAAGTTAGTTTCTTGTTTTCTTTCATATTATTTTCTTTGATTGGTTGCTACTTGTTAGAATTAAATAATTAATTAAAACGTAATTGTTGACATTTCTAAAATAAATTTAACATATAATTAATTTTAGGTAAACAAATATGAACAAACAAAAATCTATTACCTCCTTTTTCAAACGAAAAGAGCCAGAAAATGACACAACACCCGACGAAAATAATCCAGTTAATGAAGATACCCCTACCCGAACACATAATCACGAAGAAGGTCTATCGATTATTGATATTGACAATGTGGATATTAATTCTTTAGAACGTGATCCAGGGTTACGTCCTCCAATATGGGCTTATCAACCTCAATATGGCTTATTCTTTAAAACGAAATGAAATAAGACGTGATTATATCAAATTGGGGCCTTACCAACCTCAATTGGCAGAATATCCATTTTCTAGGCCTACAAAGCATCGTCGCCGATTTCAATCTACTTGGTTTGTTAATTTCCCAGATTGGTTGGAATATTCACCTTCTAAAGATGCTGCATTTTGTCTATCTTGTTATTTGTTTACTGAAACACCAAATTCTCGGGTAAAATCGTTTACTTTGACCGGATTCAAAAATTGGAAAAAAAGTCAATGATGGGAAACGGTGTGGGTTCCTTGCTCATATTGGAGAAGGTCCATGTACAACTCATCGAAATGCGGTTCAATTATACAAGACTCTTCCTAAGCAAAAAGCAAAGATTCGTAATGTTTTTTACAAACAAAATGAAATGCAAATCAAGCAAAATCGATTGCGTTTAAAGGCCTCTATCGATGTCCTCCGCTTGTTGACTACACAATCTTGTCCCTTAAGAGGTCACAATGAAACAAATAATTCTGAGAATCAAGGAAACTATCTTTAATACAGAAAGGTGTTGGCTGCATATAATAAAGATGTTTCCAAAGCTATACGACAAGCTCCTTATAATGCCAAATATACTGCTCCCTCGATTCAAAAAGAGATTCTCCATATTATTTCAAATAAGGTTTGCAACTATATTAGAGAAGAAATTGGTAACTCTAAATTTGTTATTATAGTTGATGAGGCTCGAGATGAATCTAAAAGAGAGAAAATGGGTCTTGTTTTAAGGTTTGTTGACAAATATGGAACAATTAGGGAGCGATTTTTTGACCTTATACGAGTTTTCGATACCACGACAGCAACACTTAAAAGAGAATTGTGTTCAGTTCTTGCTTGACATAATTTATCTGTTGAAAATATTCGAGGGCAAGGATATGATGGTGCTAGTATCATGAGAGGTGAGTGGAATGGTTTGCAAGCATTATTTCTTTCTGATTGTCCCTATGCTTATTATGTCCATTGTTTTTCTCATCGTTTACAATTAGCATTAGTTGCCGCATCTAGAGATGTTAGAGTAATACATCAGTTTTTTTTTTCAAATTTGACTTTCATTATCAATGTCATTGTTTCATCTTCTAAACGTGTTGACCAATTGAAATCCATCAAATCTGATGAAATAAAAAGGCTATTATCTATTGGTGAAATAGACAGTGGTAGAGGAGCTAATCAGACGAGATCTTTAAAAAGAGCTGGAGATACATGTTGGGGTTCACATCTTTACTCTATTCGTAGCTTGATTAAAATGTTTGATGCAACAGTGTTAGTACTTGAACACATCTCGAATGATAAGTCTTGTAATTCTTCTCAACGTGGGGATGCTGATGGTGCTTTAGATCAAATGATTTCCTTTGATTTTGTGTTCATTTCCCGTTTAATGGAAGAAATTTTGGGAATTGCTAATGTTTTATGTCAAGCCTTACAACAAAATTCCCAAGATATTGTCAATGCTGTGAAATTAGTGTCTACAAATCATGAACTAATTCAGGAAATGAGAGAAAATGAGAAGAGGAAAGTTTTTTAGAGTCGGTGGTATTGTTTTGTCACCAACATGATATTTTAATACCTGATATGAATTCTCCTTATATAGCTCGTAGGGGTCGAGCTCGTCATCAACAAGATCGAGTTACAATGAATCATTTTTATCGAGTTGAAATATTTTTAGGTGCAATTGACAAACAATTACAAGAGCTAAATCGGAGATTTAATGATGACGCTTTAGAGCTCTTAACTTTATCATCTTTGTTAGAGCCCAAAGACGGATTTAAAAATTTTGATCTTGAGAAGGTTTGCTTGATTGCAGAAAAGTTTTACCCCATGGATTTTGCGGAGCAAGAAAGGTACAATTTGAGGTATCAATTGCAACACTTTTTTTGTGAAGCAAAAAATGAGCCTAGTTTGACTCATCATTCTACCTTGGAGGAATTTTGCGAACACTTGGCACAAACAGGAAAATCAAATGTATACTTTTTGTTTGATAGACTAATACGTCTAGTTTTGACCCTTCCTGTCTCCACAGCTACCACTGAAAGAGCATTTTCAGCAATGAAGATCATGAAAACAAGATTACGTAACAAGATGGAGGATGAGTTTTTGGCCGATAGTTTAGTTATTTCCAATGAAAGGAAGATTTCTAAGTCATTTGGTACTAAATCAATAATTGATGGCTTCAAATTATTAAAAGAAAGACGAGCCTTACTGTAGACACCCATTTGTGTCTCCCCAAAACCAAACCTGGTGATGAGTACCTTTCACGTCGTATAATAATCGAATGAAGCGAAAGTGTGGAAAGTCTAGTGTTGCGGATGGTTTTAATTTCTTTTCTCTTCTCTCTTTTTTAAAAACTTATTTTAAAAAAACAGTCAATCCAGTCTGGTTGGTCCATGATATGGGTCCAATAATAATGTAGTTGGATGGGGGTTTGAAAAGGCCTTTCCAACGATATATTATAAGCCCAATTCCGATGAATATCGAAGAAGTTATGGCCAAAATACTAAACTGGGCCCGATTTAGTTTTTATATGCGGCCCAATAATCTAGAGGAGGGCCTATTATTAATTATCATTTCTAAAGCTATTAGGATTGATTATAGTCTTTTAGAATACTATATAAGGTTCTTTTAAATCCTAATGGAGTTAAGATTGATAATTATGTTTTAAAGAGTTTGAAATTGAATAAAACTACTCCTTTTAAGAATCCTTGTTTTGTACGAAGTGGAATATATTCAGATTTTATATTCGTGCCTCATAATATTTATCCAAATTTTATATGGTTGGATAGATCTTGAAATTATCTTTCCAATGATATATTATAATATTAAATCCGAGTTATAACGAAAAAGATATGAATGAGACATGAAACTTTATCCAAAACTGACACCCTTCCACTATTTTAGCCATATCTTTTTATCTACAAAATATTTTAATCTCATTCTAATTGTGTTAGAAATTAGACTTTAAGAGATTTCAACGACATATTATATGCCTTATTTCGACTTCCGGATCAAAAGATATGATAAAAACAAAAACGTGTGAATTTCTGAAATCAGCGCCTGGAACCAGGCCTAGCGCCTGGCGCCAGCCATTGGCGCCTGGTGCTAGCCATTGGCGCCTGGCGCCAATAAGCTGGTGCTGGCGCCAGCTCTGTTTTGCGTGCGCTAATCTCGTTTTACGTGCGCCAAGTGCTCTGTTTTGATATTTTATCTTTTTGGCTGATTTCTCTATAAATAACATGTTTAAAACTTCGTTTTCATTCACCTACAATCAGTTTTCATTCACCAATTCTCACGATTATTCACCAACTCTCATCAAGATTTTCTTGATTATTCTCTCTCTCTCTCTCTTTTTCTAAACTAGCCTTTTCTCAAATACAAAATTCCGCATTCACAAAATCTAGAAACACCTAACCATATTCGAAGTTGCCTTCGCCCTAGACGTGAAAGGTTTAATTTCTGAGGGTTTGGTCCCAAATCTCTATTTTAATTATTTAATTGTTTTGTTGATTATTATTTTCCTTGAAGTTACTAACGTGTGTATTTTGTTACTAGAAAGAGGTACGAGGCATCAAAGTAAGTACTTTAATTGATTAATTGATATTATGATGTAGAAATCATGTTTATATTGTTATTATGATATTCCTAGTATCATGTTTAGGGAAAAGGTTATAATATCAAATATGCTTAGTATGATTCCTGCGATGCTTCCTATGTTCTTCCTAATATTCATGATTGTTAGTATCATGTTAGGGCTAAAGATTTGATTTTTATTGCTTAGTGACATGCTAGGGTTTGTTATTAATCTTGTTAGTATCATGCCTAGGATCTTGCTATTTTTATTATGCTTTAATATTAACATGAACATGATTATGATTATAATTGTTATAATTCATGATGATTACGAATATTATGAATATTATTATTTTGATGATGATAATTATTTTAATTAATATGATTATTATTATTATTATTATTATGATTATCATAATTATTATTCATGATATTTATTATTTATTATGTTGATTGATGCTTATTTATTTTTATTGCTTGATCACGCCTTTTATGCATGTTTAAAGGGAATTTGGTACTTGTAATCACGCTTAATAAGATATTTAATAATCCTGTTTAGGGTTAATTATGATTATAATTTCAAGTGATCGCCAATAATAGTTTATTTGTGCATTAATATTCAACCAACATAGATTAAACAGGTTTAGGGTTAATGTATTGATTGCATGTTAATTAAAAAGCGCACATGAATACGATCAGAATAAAGTAGAGGCCTATTATTAGGGCAGGTTCAATCTCTTTTAGGTTGGATTTGTACCTTCATCCCCGAACCCTTATTTGGTTCTAGACCTTATGGAGTTGACGGTCTCTTGGATCGTTAAGGGGTGTAACCTTCATCCTGTGAACGGTTTACAAGTTCCTAAAAAAACTTGTTGGCGACTCTTTTGCTCTATCTTCTTCCCTTTTGGACGCCACCGTACTTTAGTGTATGATCACAGTGGGGTTCAAGCTAGTGGGATTAAGGCTTGAAATTTATTCCCTACAGTTTTTGGCGACTCCACTAGGGAGGATTTCTATTTTAATTCCTGAATTTGTTTCGGCAATGATTTAGAATGAGTGGATGAGACTCGAAACGTTCTAAGTATTTCATGTGCGTAATTTTGATTAACATTATTGCCATATGCATAAAAAAGATCTCATTGGAAAGACCATCCGTAACATAGGATTTTACACGTAGGAAATTTGAGAAATATCTTTCACAACTAGGACCGAAATAACACCGCGCAAAACTAGAAAATTTTATCGAGCACAGAAAGTTGCTGAGGCATGTGGGAAGTAGCGTCAGGGGCCAGAGCTTGGCGCCAGCATTTTAGTTGTAGCGCCAGGCGCCAGCATTGGCGCCAGGCGCTACAATTAAAATCTGGCGTCAGTCTCTGTTTGCTGGCACCAATTTCCCCCAATACCGAGCCAGAAATATGCGTTCTAATTTCGACCGGTTTTTCGTATTGTTTGATCGATCCTACTTCCTGATTGAATTTTTTCTCACTTTTCTGAAACCCATGTGTTCTATATATGGACATAACCCTCTGGGAATTCATGCTCCATCTACCCGATTGAACGCTCCGTGCAACAAAGGGTACATCCGAGATGTTGAATTCACCAAACCATGGAAGCGAGTTTTTTCTAAAACTCGCGGTGTCCCATCCACTCGCGCCAACCCTTCACGGTTAGGCTTCCGCGCGGTGCATCTGGACAATTAACCATGGACCCTCTATTGACTAAACCATATCCCGAACTTTAGAGAACTAGAGCCATGGTTAGGTTGCAAACTCATTGCATCATATTGTGCCTACTTGACTAATTGTGCATTATTTGTTGTGCATACTCTATGTGATTTTTCCTAACCGTTTGTTTGACTTGTGTTAAGACTAAATAAACTGATTAATGACTAAAGGACTTTGTTTAATTAATTAATTAATTAATTAATAAATTTGAGCTAATAAATAAACATAAAATCGAGTCATAGTTCCTTTAAGTCAACCCGGATTTTTATTCCCGTATACTGCACAAGCGTCAACTTGTTTTGGTCATATCTGGAGTTCTAGAAAGAACTACGAGTTGTATATGGATCTGTAGCCCCGAGTTTAATATTTAATTTGGCGTTGGTTTCATTCCAATCAGAGTCACAGATAAAAAGTTATGACTAAAATACCACAGTCTGTCCAATTTAATGCATATACGTGAAGTCTTAACTTAGTCTTTGCTCAAGTCTAGTCACATAGTCTAGCCACATGGTCATGACACGAGTCTTAACATGTCACCTACACTCACTAGTCTTAGCACACACTTTGAGTATATTTCACCATGACCATGCCTTAGGTTCATGCATGAGTCGGTCTTTTCCGTCATTTGAGTTGGGGGTACATTGTATTCCTAATTCTTCATATCCCTCCATCTACATCATTTTCCTTCACATTATATTCCAATATTTCTTCACATCCTCCTTCCATTGCATGTTGAATAAAGTTTGAGTCAAATAATTAACAATGAATATCCCCAAATTCCTTTTCCACAGTACTTGGTCGAGGAAAGAAGGGCAATTAATCAAGGACAACCTCTTTGTTCAAGTCTCACTTTTTGATAAACCGATTCGTCAAAAGAGGAAGGCTAAGAAGATAATGGAAACTCAAGAGGAAGTTAATGAACTCATGAGTCAATTGACTAACGTGACTGAGACACTGAAGCTACTCACACTTAAGATCGATGATCCCGTGAAGCAACAACAAATGAACCTCATGCAAGAAAGCTTGAGAAAGCTATCTAGTGACTATAAATTTCAGGGCATGAGTTCACAAGGGGTCTCGCTGGACAAGAAACTTCTTCCGCATAAGTTCAATGCCACTGACATCCCTAAATTCAAGGCAACAGATAACCCTTACTTCCATCTAAGAGCTTTCGAAACCATAATGAGTATTAAGAATATCGATAAGAAGGTTTTCCCCTCTCTGTTCTCACTATCTCTCGAAACCGTTTGTCAACAATGGTTCTTCTCCCTTGACAAAGAGAAAACCTCTACCTGGGAATCGATAGTGAACGCTTTCATTGATAGGTACAAGTGCAATATCCAAGTTGAAACCGACCATAGACAACTTGAGATGCTAAGACAAAAAGAGAATGAAGGCTTTACTTCTTTCTTTAATAAATGGAGGGAAACTTCCGCCAAGATGATTGAGGTCCCCACCGAAAAGGAGTCTGTGAGGATGTTTATCAAGAATCTCCAAGAAAAGTATTCAAAGCATCTAAAGTATCAACACAATTTGAATACTTTCAAGGCCGTTTATGACATCGGAATTGAAATCGAAGATGACCTCGCAAAGCAAAAAGCTACTAACAATAGTAACCACGGTGGCTGGAAAGGAAAGAAGAAACGACAATCCTTCTTCTTCCGAAAACGCCCACTCTAGTAATAATGTTAGTACCTTTGACCATAATGGTGTCTTAGCCATGGACAATCAAGGATCTAAAAGGAAACCCAGGCGAGAGTTCACACCCATTGGAATGACCTACGATGCTGCTTTCGATCGTCTCTATGATCGAGGATTAATCAAACCTATTGGCCCTACCGAGGATCCAACACCAGAAAATCGATCTTCGAGATGGAATCCAAACTCCTATTGCAAGTATCATCAAGGGCGCGGTCATTCTACTGATGAATGCTACAGGTTTCAAAACCTCATTCAAGATCTCATAGAGGTAAATAAGATCCCATTGCCTCTAGCTAGCGAGAAGATTGGATGTGTCGGAGCAAACAACACAAGACAGAGGCGAGCTTCAACGATAAGATTTCATGACCTCTTTTTCTATTTCTTTTTCATTTTTTCCTTTTCCCAATAAGTCTAGCATAGACACCTTTTCTTTTCTTTTCCTTTAGATTAATTTTGTAGTTTTTTTCCTTTTCCCTTTTTAATAAAATGAGCATTTATTTCCTTGCATATGATCATCGCATTGCATTGCATTAAAAAATAAAAAAAAAATAAAAAAAAAAAAAAACCATGTCGAACTAAGCACAAGGTATACCAATGATTTGAGGCACCCCTTGTAGCCACATCATATCTCCTTTCACCTATACAATCCCTTCTTCATAAACCACTTTGAGCCTCGTCTAACGATAGACCCTTCATTTTTTTCAACCTACATCTACTTAACCTTGGGATGGGATAGTGTGTAACTTATGCAATTCTAAAGAAGGCTTGAGTAAATTCAAAAGATTAAAATAGCAAAAATAAGCAAAAGCAAAAAATAAATAAATAAATAAATAAAAGTGTACAAAAGGGCAAGTGTTCCAATGTCTTTGACATGAAAATATCTTCGATAAGAACACGTCTCATATTGCGTCTCTTATCGAGTGCTCGGTACCGCGTCTGAGAAACATGAATGCCAAGTGAGTGATAGACCGCATGATCGGGATTTCCCATGCTTATAAAAATAAAATAGATGCTAAAGCAAAATATAAAAGAGAGCTAAAAAAGAGTAGAAACTCAAGTAAAAATATAAAGATTCAAAAGCGAGGTTGCACACCTTGGGGCTTATCTAGGGTCTTGAGCCTTTATCCCCTTCTTCTATAGCCTTTAGCCTAACCACGTTACAACCCTTAAAAAGACCTTTTTGCTTTTTGAGGTATACACACTTGTGCGAGGTTCGGCTAGAGCTACGTTTGGCCTGATTCCTAACGGATACGTAGGCAACCTCACATCGAGGTGCGACCGTAATAAACATGCATTCATATTCACATTCACACACTTACACCGTGATCATATATATCAAGGGATTTCCTATGCTCATCCATTTTCATTTAGAGCTAGACTTGGGGGCTTGATCCCTACATCATTAGCTTACCTAGCCTAGGAGTCACCATCATTTGACTCTTCTTGAAATAATATTCTTTCCACACACTTAGCTCTTGCGGCCTAAATTTAGTGTCACTTTCACACACTGCACAAATACATGACCAAATATATTTCCCTTAGGAACCCTTTGTCATGAAATCACAACGTTGAAGCATGCCTTGTCATATCAACATCGATCATCAGTCATATTTGTCATTGCATCACGAAGTATGAAGTACTTAGCCTCCGTGCCTAAGTTACCCAAATACTTTCATCATGGAGTCAACAGTTGAGATAGCCTAGGATGGATTAATCCTTGCACCTTCAGAGACAGTATCAAACAACATTTGACTAAGCTCATTCAAAATTCACCCTCAAAAACTTCGATTCTTTTTTCGCGTCTTTCTTTTTCGGGAGAAAGTCGGCACCCTCCACAAAAATTACGGAAACTTTTTTGCTTTTTTGCATTTTCGAGTCGCATAATCATAATACAATGCACACACGAGTCACATTGAGTCATGTCGTGTCATATCACTTTGATTTGAAACTAACACACGTGTCAAACTCTTCGAGTCGAGTCAACCTCGAGTCAATCACAGCAAGTCAAGTTTATGCCTTGAGTCGTGTCAAGTCGATGAGTCAAGCAATGCTAAACCTTAGGTCAACCCTAAGATAATCAAAAAGATTGGCAAAGTTCTATAGTAAAAAAAAATACAGATGTAGCAACGTTGATCGACGGCGTTCCCTAGATGCCAAACACAAGCATTAATTTTTTTAGGAAATCAGTTTCTTCTTGCATGATTGATTTCTCCACCTTATTTGGTAACTTTTTCATTATGTGCCACATACAGAAGCGATGTTCAGTCTTGTTAAACACACTTTTAACAGCAATTTTCATTGCTGGATCTTGATCTGTAATCATACAATTCGGTTCATTTCCACCCATTGCCTTGAGAAATGATCTGAACAACCACTCAAATGACACTATATCTTCCTTTGCTATGAAACCAGCAGCAAAAGTAAGGCAGCTCTTATGATGGTCAATCCCTGTAAATGGAGTAAACACCATGTTGTACCTGTTTACACATACAGATTAAATTTTAAATGATCAAATAACTACACACACACATAAATACACAGACACACGTACTTAGACACAGACACACACACGCACACACACATATACACATACATACACGCACTCACAATCTGTGATAGAATCTGAATTCAGATTATGAAATCAGAATTGTCATCAGCTACTGAAATAATTCAATGCTCATTTGACAAATGGGCAAATAATTGATTGTTCATTTGTCAAATGAGCTTATAACTCAATGCTAATTTGTGAAATAAGCAAACAATTGTTTGCTTTTTTGTCAAATGAGCAAATAATTGAATGCACATTTCTGAAATGAGCAAATAAGTCAATGGTCATTTGTGAAATAAACAAACAGTTATACTAAGTTCATTTAAAACAAAGTTATTAATTTAAGCTATAGTTATAACATAAAAATGATTTGTGATTTTTATGAATTACCTATTGGTTTGGTATGTGGTATCAAAGGATACCATATCACCAAATAGAGCGTAACTCTTTTTACAAAGGGGATCAGCCCATAATGCTCTACAAAGGCAATAATCATCATCCATCTCAAAATCAAAGAAAAAAGCGCTCCACATTAACTTTTTGTTGGTAAAGTTATCCACGAACATTTGAGCATCACTTCCTTGAATGTATGCTTTCAAATCTCTATGAAAATTTTTGAAATCTTTCTTAGATGCACCGATGTTATCATATCCTCCAACAATTTCCTTCATCATTCGAAAAGTTGTAACAGGACCAATATTCACCTAATTAAAGAACAAAACAGTTTGTCAAATGAGCAAATAATTTAATGCTCATTTTTCAAATGAGCATACTACTTTTATTAGAACATACAGAGAATTCATGAAACATAAGAGGCTTTGAAAGTCGTACCTTAGAATTATTCACAATTATTTTTTTGTGCAATATGTTCATTTTTCTTCCTTCTTTTTGGAAGAGATTGCAACTAGGTGTATAAAGTAGATGAGTATGTCCCTCATGAAATTGTGACACTATGAATTTGTTATCATCACAATGCTTTATGATAATATGTGCCTTGCACCCAACACGAGTAACGAGTCTCTTCCTTTTGATTGAAGTTTTTTCTTCATTGCTTTCTCCTTCGTTGTTATTTAAATCTTTTTCAACAGTAGGCTTTCTTTTCTCTTTGTATCCTTCTTTATTGCATAAGATATACTGTGATTTCAATTCTTTGCTTCTTCTTTGCCTTTTAGTTGTAGATTTTCTTGTGTTGAATCCAGCAGCAAATGCGTATCTTTTATAAAATTCAAGGCCCTCTTCAAGATTATTAAACTTCATCCCTATAGCTGGTTTCAACTCATTGGGGCATATTGGAAGCCATATATACATACATACATACATATATATATATATATATATATATATATATATATATATATATATATATATATATATATATATATATATATTAAAAGTTTCATTAAAAACACTAACATCTAACCACCTTTGTAATAACACAATGAAATTATTCTAATAAAATACTATGGAGTACAACTTTTATTACAACATAGTAACCTTTCTTTCTATTTATAAAATGGTTATAGTATCTTTAATATTAGTGGTCCATAATAAACTAATGCGAACCAGATGCTTTTAATAATTTGTAGTATAAGTGAAGGTAGTAAGGTAAGGGACAAAAATTATAAAATATTTATTTGAGTGGGGATAGAGAGAGGGAAAAACAATAAAATAATAGTGAATAAGGGTTTGTTCACTTTAGCTTAATTTCAGTTCAGTTCAGCTTCAATCAGTTTAGTTCATTTCAGCTCCAATCAGTTTAGTTCAGTAAGGGAAAAAAATATAAAATATTTATTTGAGTGGCGATAGAGAGAGAGTAAAACAATAAAATAATGGTGAATAAGGGCATGTTCACTTTAGCTTAATTTCAGTTCAGTTCAATTCAGCTTCAATCATTTTAGTTTTTCAGTTTAGTTCAGCTCCGATCAGTTCAGATCCTAATTTCCTTCTCTCATAAAATATTCATTTCAGCTCTATTCAGTTCAGTTCAGTTCAGCTCCAATCAGTTTAGTTCAGTTCAGCTCAATTCAATACATGTGAACAAGCCTTAAGTCTTTATCTTTACTAAAATAAGAAGTGTTGCGATTATTATGAAATAGATGTAAAAGGAAAGTGTTGCAATCATTACTACGAAATGGAGGGAATATTTCATAAGGGTTTGTTCACTTTACTTTACTACAAATATTTCATAAGGGTTGGGTACCCGGTTAACTAACATATGCTACACTAAATAATTTTTTTAAAAATAAAATTATGTTAAATGTATCTAGTTAGTAAAATAAAAAAAATATTTTTAATACCTAAAATAAATAAAATATCTTAATGTACATATAAATACAAGTGTCAAACGCTAAAAATGAAAATAAAATTAAATAAGTATCATAATTTATATTATATTTTAATAATTATTTACATAAGTGGGTACCCGGAACTGGAACCGGTACCCGATGGTTCCAATTCCAAATCTTAAATCATTACTACCCGTTTGAACCAATTCCAATTCCGGTTCTGAATTTTAGGACCCGGTTCCAACCAATTCCGGGTCCGGGTCCTAAAATTTTGACCGGGTATCCGGTTTGTTCACCCCTACTCACACACATAAGTTGAGTTCGAGTCAAGGAAGTTAGTTTATTGCTCACTCACATAATTTGAGATTGAGTCAAGCAAGTTATTAGTGCATTATATGCACCAAGGTAGTAATCGTGCAATTTTGTGCACAAAACTAGGCAAAGAGCCTTAATTAAAATAAATTGTATGTTCTCACTAATTAATTCAAGAATGAAATAGAAGTATGTACTGATTGTTGTTATGTTTATTCTTGATTGATTGGTTGAAATAATCATCAGTTAAATTGGCAAATCACGTAAAGTGTAAGAGGATACGCAACAAATCTCTAGGAACGTATATACCTTGAGCATGAATATATGGGGGGGGGGAGTTATGAAGTTTTATATTTAACAATAGCTTCTAATCTTCTATAGGGGTACAAAACGATGTACTTTCTTTTATTATTAATGCGCTGGAATTTCGTCACCAAGTGTGACATAGTATGTGCCAATTGGGGTAGCTCCCTGATTGGAAGCTCCATTTTTAATGGGCTATTTTAAGGAAGGAAACTCGTTCGATGCGTAATCCAAAGCTATTATTTAATAATTAATATTGTTAGTTATGAGTCAAAATTAAGTTGACCTGTGTCTTATGGTAAGCATTATTTATTTATTTATTTATTTATTTATTTATTGTCTATTGCTAGGATATATATTCATGTTATTGTGTTTATTCCTATTGGTGCATATGTACTCAGCTTTTGCTAATTCGTACTTTATTGTTTGTCTTTGGATTTTCTTTGGACTGGTCGTACTATGACCCATTTTATATGACAAGTAGTGAGGTTGAAATACAGAGAAATACAGGTAGAAGGAGCATATCAAGCATAACGGGGTTGAGCGAAATGAGATATATGTTTCTTTGCTTATTATTTATTGTATTGAATTATTTATGTAATTGTTGACACTAACATTTATTATTGTTTATATTTTAGTTTGGTTTTAAAAAGAGTCTTTAATAATGGTTTCAATTTATTGGTTTGATGTAAGTTGGTTTGAAGTTTGAATTTGTTTTAATTAACTTTATTTTATTTGAGTTTTTGAAAGTTAGTCTTACGCTATGTGACTTTGAAAATAGCCTTAGTCGTTATCACGATGGCGGTAATACTTTGGATATTTCCTAAAATGAGTTTTATTTCGAGTAAGAGAGTACTTTAAAAGAAGGGAATTTTCAGGGTTTTACATCCTCCATCAACGCTTCTTGAAGAGTGAAGAGTCTCTTCCGGACGAGGTCAAACTAATCCGACCCGTCTTTAAGACACTTGAAGAAGTTTGTATAAGCAACATTGTCAGACATCCCTTGGATCTGGATTCACCAGATCGAACCTGACATATGAACGGAGCCCCTTCATGTCTCCCTGTTGTACCGCGCCCAAGTTAAGGCTTGTCTTTTTGGCGGGTATGTTCATGGAGAAGTTAGAGGCGAACAAGAACGCAAGCGTCCTAAAATTTGATGCACCTAGCCAGAAAATTGTCGAACCACTACTGGGCAATGCCCTTCGGCGTGGCTGGGAAGCACTTGCACCATGCGACATCATCCAACCCTTGCAGGTACATGAGGTGAGTGTATGTCAACCGTGGTACCATCATAAGTACCCACCATCACATTTTTAACCTTAGCCGACTGCATGTGTCGCCTCGGTTATCTTCTTGGAGAGCGCAGAAGGTTTTTCTCCAAGATTTAGCAAACTGAGCTGCCAGTCCAGAGGCTGGACATTATATGTCGCCTGACCCTCGAAGAGGACAGGCTGCTGGTAAGGCTAGACAAAAGGCATGTATGATTGTTGGGACACATATTGGACCGAGCCTATCATATGAGGACCTGTATGGACGAACCGGCAGCCTGACAAGTTCTCCTGTACAAATTAAGAATATCTAATCTAGTTAAATTTCCTAAAATTGTGTGCCGATTAAAGTGTAACACTTATTAAAACACTGAAGGAGTACATTGTATTAATCTATTGGAGATGCCAATGTAATAAAGTACTTTTCACTACTCCTTCCGTCTCAAAATAACTGGAATGTTCGACTTTTTATCACTATTCTTGTATTAGCTTTGATAATTTTTTTAGATATAGAAATATTATTCATTATTTATTAATATTTTTTAAATTTTAAATAGTAATTTATTTGTATTAATAGCTAATAGACGAAAAGAAATAAATCGATTTTGTACTCTATCTGTGTATTCTTTATCTTTACGAAATACCAGCCAAACTAGAATGATCGGAAAAGGCATATAATAAAATTCTTTGATTGGTTCTTCCTCGAAAAATGATTCCGTTTTATTTTATTTTACAAAAAGACCAAAAAGAATTCGAACAAATAACAAAAAAATTAGAAATAATAAGAATTTTTCTTCTTTTATTCGAAACGCCCCGTGATCTTCAACCAATTATGCGCTTCAATATAATTCCCAGGAGTAAGCGTTATAGCCTGTTTCCAATACTCGGCGGCTCTGATATAATAAATACATATTTTATCATAAAATATGTTGTACATGTTCAATATGTAATTGAATAAAATTTCATAATATAATTTTTAATAATTTACAACAATATTTAATTATATAAAAATAAAGTCAAACTAGTGAATCAATGTGTGCAAAAATGACTTTGTCAATTATTTTGAGACATGAAGTATTCTATAAAAAATAAAATAAAAAACCTTTTATATGAGGCTGGCCATATACTTTTTTTTTTCTTTTTTGAAAGAATAATCAGGGTTACTCGGTCGGTCATTAGGGGTTACTAGTATGATAACTGACCCCCCCCCCCCCTCCCCAAAAAAAAAAAAAAAAAAAAAAAAAAAAAAAAAAAAAAAAAAAAAAAAAATTAGAAGCATAACCGTCCCTTAACTGCATTCATTGCTCTATCACTATTATTCCAGGATGACGGTATTAAATACAGTACTTGATATTGATGATTTATTGTGTTGAGCCCTTCTGTTACTGGCCAACTACCATATGCTACTTGAGTCAAGCTGTCAACTATCACGGTTGAGCAACTAATATCATCCATGGAGCTTTACATGGTTGATGATTTACGTTACAAATCTCTACTTTTTGCTATTTAAGTATGTAATCCTTTATGACTTTATTAGAAACATTTCTTTTTCAAAGCGTCACAATTCTTATCCCTCAATTGCTTTATCCTTAATATTATTGTTGTACTAATACATTTTTGAATTAATGCACAGGAATGATTTGCTAATGACTACTATGATTCCAATTATATCAAGTACGTAATTTGAAATGACAAACTAATTGGTTAAAATGACACTGGTGATTAAAAGGAATAATTAATGATGTTGAAGTTTTGTTAGCTATCACAATTATAATTTGAATTAATGAATAAAGTGATTAGCTCAATCAACAAAAGAGTAGAAATTTAGGTTAGAGAATATTGGTAATTCTACATCATAATTGTTTTGTGCAAAAAGTGCTACAAAGTTCTAATGCAGGGAAAATTCATGTGAATAACTAGAGGTTTCATCAACTTTTTCTCATAACCTCACTTTGTAGGGCCAATTAACCAGATAAAAAATCTGAACGACAATTTTTTGTACCAAATTGTCCTGTGAGTTTTTTTTTTTCTTTCTTTCTTTCCAACTGTCGTTAGAGGTTTTGTTTATTTACCAATCAATTTAATTGTCCCCTTTTATAGAATACATTCAATCCGTTAAATTGTATGATCTCTCTTTTCTTAAATCATTAGTTTGACTGACACATTAGCCAAGTTATAACTTTTTTCTTTAATTTTTCTTAGTAAAAATTGGAGCAAAATTAAAAATATGAAAATGGACATTGTTATTAATCTAATCATTTATTATATAATACTTTGTAATATTTATTTATTTTGTAATATTAAAAAAAAATCAAGTGATTGTGTAAAATTAGTGTAGAAGCTAAAATGATGCATTTAAAAACAAACAGAAAGAGTATTTGTTACAATTAAATACAAAACTATTAGTTGATAAATAAACTGTATATTTGTTTAGAGTTAAATGCAAAATTGCCGCTAGATAAACGTTGCTATCTTTATGAAGGAGATAAACACGAAATTTCACTTCCCTCAACACCATAACATCATCCTCCACCCCCATAACTGAACTTTCTTTACACTTATTGACACCATCAACTATTCCACTCAATAACAAAAAAATGCACAGATTCGTATCATCAGTGAAGATAACAGGACAATGCATAATAGGATGGGAGTCAACTGCACGGCCGTAAGAAAGATAAATGGCCTCCTATTAAATTAGTCACGAAAAAAGTTGGAAATTTAACCATACATGAACAGCTGCAATAATGATTTCACCTTCAACGGCTTCAATAATGGTTTCAACTCCCATTTAACTTTCATAAATGCAGTACAACTTCAGTATAAATGTACACAAAATTGGGGTTTGGTTATCCTCAAGTCCGCAACCTTCTCCTCATTTAGCTCCACAAAGAGGTCATCTCCCTTGCATACTCCCTGAGCCAAATACTGTATTACTAGCAACACTACCTGCTTTCGAAACACAGCCGAACCCGGTATTTCACATAGTGGTTAACCCGTTTTACAGCCAAGAAAAATGGATTCAAAGCTCAAAATAAAAACTGGTTATGAAAAGGATGAGGGAGATGAACCTGTGTCTCCTACAGGACAGTACTTCAACAGCAATACCTTATCAGTTCGCGTCCTATCGATAATGGAATCCGAAGATCCCATTGACGATTCCTGCGCAATATCATTACTTGAGGATCTCTTCCTTCCCATCAATCCAAGATTTTCATCCATTATGGTAACTCTCAATTCTCATTGTCTTTGTTTTTTGCTAACCACCTTGACATAATTATAACTAATTTTTTGAATTGATGTTGAATATAAAACAGGTATTTGATAAAACAGGTGTAAAACAATGGAAAAGGGTGGAGGTGAACATTCCAGAGCATCTTCATATTCCCAGCTTCCCAGAGGGCTTGTCATTAGAAGAATATGATGACTATTTTGATAAATATATAACTGAGATTGGTATGAAGCCATTTCCAAAAGACAAGCCGTTATGGGAAGCTCACATCTTTAAGTACCCGACAACCAAAGCAGCCGGACACCTCATCTTCAAGCTTCACCACGCGCTTGGTGATGGCTTCTCTCTAATGGGAGCACTACTTTCCTGTATGCAACGAGCGGATGATCCTTCCCTTCCAGTAACCTTCCCATCAGTAAAATCAAGCTCAGAAGCTAACAGCAAAGCTGCGGATGAAGTAGGCTGTTTGCCAAAAACCATTTCAGCAATCTACAATACAACCTTAGATTATGGATTGAGTGTTCTGAAGAGCAGTTTGATTGCTGATGATAAAACACCAATTAGGTCTGGGGGTGAGGGCGTGGAATTCCATCCAGTACAGATCTCTACAGTAGCATTGTCCCTGGATCAAATCAGACAAATCAAAACAGCAATAGGAGTGGTAAGATTTTCTTTACTTGACTTTTATAAGCTATATATCTGTTTGCCTAATCCTTTATCTCAAACGGGAGAGGGGAGGTTTGATAGACATTGTGTCATTGCAGCGTATAAAAAATTTAAAAGCTTCCTCAAATGCATCTGTTAATTACATATAATTATGCACTTTAAACAATAGACAAGTATGCAGAGTACAATTTCACAAAAATTAGAAACCTGTGTCACTGTGTGACAGTAAAATAATTTATACTTCGGGTTTGTTCAAATTTACTGAATTGAGTTGAGCTGAACTGAATTGAACTGAAATGAATATTTTATGATAGAAAGAAATTAGAAATTGAGCTGAACTGAATTGAAATTAAGCTGAAGAGAACATGTCCGATCCTCTGTTATTTTTAGTTGCATCACTTTGAAAATTGCAGACGCCAAAGCAATTTTTAAAGATGAGAGAGAATTAAAAAAAAATGAACCCATGAGATAGGAATGCGATAGAGAGATTCTATTACCTAAAAAGGAGAGTGATAATTTGAAATTTCTGTTTTAGGAAAGTGATGCAACGAAAAAGAAACGGAGGAAGAATAAAAATCTTTCTAATGCAGTGAGAACAGAGTAGTACCGCAATAAACAATCTAGGTGGGACCAATATAGCCTAATGTAACAAGGGTAATCAAAATTGAACGGGATTCATTACACTTCATCATACTAGTTGGCCATGGTAATAGTGCAGGAAAAAGAAAATGGTACGTCAGTAACAGAAGGCATTAAGCATAATCCATTCTAATGTTGAAGTCCATGTAATATATCAGTATTTTAATGTTACAACACATTTTCTGATAGATAAGTATGGAATAAGAATATTTATTTTGAGTGAATGCCAATTTTGAAATGGACTAAAGATAAATGATGCAACTCTAACACTATTAGTCTACTCCTGCAGACAATAAATGATGTGATTACTGGCATAATCTTCCTTGGGACTCGATTATATATGCAATCAACAGGAAAAGGATTCAACAATTCCGAATCAACAGCATTAGTGCTGCTCAACACTCGAAACATCAATGGTTACAAGTCTGTTGACGAAATGGTTAAAGCTGACTCAGATTCAAAATGGGGAAACCAGTTTGCATTTATGCATGTCACATTACCTGAATTAATTAATAATTCTTCCAACCCCCTCGAATTTATCTCTGAAGCACAGAAAATCATTAAGAGGAAGAGAAATTCTTTGGCAATTTATCTTACTGGTCAGAGCCTGGAGCTTTTAAGGAAATGCAGAGGCCCTGAGGTGCGTGTAACTTCACTATGTTAATGCTGTCTTGTTCAAATTGTTTTGTAACTATGCTAAATGCTAATAATCATATTCCTTAACAACAAAAATTTCAGTCACAGATCAAGCAATGTCTTTCTGAAAATGAAATTCAACATCAGCTTGATAACATCAAGCTGTAAAAATATCAACTAAAAAGAGTTAAAGCATCCATCAGTTACATAAGAGAGAAGCACTTAGACTACTCATTAGCAAACGACTAGAGCAATACACAGGCAAAAGAATCCAACCATATTTAAGTTGAATATGTCTTCCTCCTGATAAACTGCATAAGCCATTCATTAATTTGCTATAAGAGTTTAAGGTCATAGATTAAGAAAATAAAAAGATTATTTTCAATTATGTAGGTTATGCCCTAGCTTAATGCGCAGTAATGCATCTCCATCATCAACATGCTCTTGTTCCTTTATTAATTTCATTTCAACTAACAGACACTCATAAACTTTCACATGACTTGATATAAATGAAACACTCCACATAAAGCATATCATAACCCTAACATTTTGTCATACTATTAAATCAAGAAAGCTCTAAAAATCAAGCAGAAAATAGTTGACAATGTGTGAACACCTCATTCCCAAAAAAGCAAAATACACTAGGTAAAATGGCACAAAGGCGACTAGATTTTTCAGGAAATCGAACTAATTCAGCAATGCCTAATGGCAAAAGACATGCATTGTTATAGGCACCAGTTAGGAACTTGGGCAGTCTTCCTAACCAACTGTTATACTCTAGTTCTAAGGGGGTGTTTGGTTTGCAAACTGTTATGGGGTTGGAATCAGGAATGAAACCATAGTGGTATGGGTTTGGAACTCGATTCTTAATACCATATGTTTGGTATGATTATGGAATGCAAGTTTTTTCTATTGTTTGATACTTAAAAGTATGGGAATGAGCCAAACCCACCTCTCCCCAAGGTTTCTAAACCCCATACCTTGAGAGTTTGAGGTATGGGTTTGAAACTCTTAAAATCATAAAACAAACACAAGGTATGGGTTTAAACCATTCTAAACCCATACCTTATACCTTAATTAAGTGAACCAAACACCCCCTAAGTGTGTTACTATTAACACGACTGCATAAGATTCTTTAGTTTCTCCCTCCCCAATCATATTATTATGACGTGTTTCCATTTCCAGGCTATCAAATAGCATCAAATTGAACTACACTGAAAGTATTAATTTAAAGGTGTGACCATTTATCTTTTCAGGCAGCGGCTGGATTTATCCATAGTACACTGCAGAAATCAACCATGACAATCTCAAATATGATTGGTCCAATTGAAAAAATGGCCTTAGCAAATCAACCATGCAAAGGCATGTATTTCATGGTCGTTGGTGTTCCTCAGGTAAGCTACACAGAGAAAGAGGGGAAACAGAATGCTGGATTCATATTTTTTGTGCTACTGGATTTCAGAAAAAATGATATAACAAAGCATAGAATTGCATTTAGAGAATCTTACGCAACTGATTGTGCTAGCCGCAGGAAGAGAGGGGGGGGGGGTCATAACTGCACTATACTGAGTACAACACATCACATTCACTCTCTTCCAAGAAGCTTATACAAGCAATAAATTTACTACCTTGACTTGCATTTTCCTTTTCACTTCCAGCATCGCAGCTAATAAGGGACCTTCCACGCCACCTGTAAAAAGACCCTTCAATTTTCATAGTATATCAGTTAAAATCGTCTAAGGGGCTGGAATAACCCACATCACAATGATCATGTATCACACAAAGTAGTACAACTGTTTCATTTGGAATCAGAGAAAGAAATTATCTTATTAATATCAAAGCTACCTAGAGTTCCCATTGTCATTACACTTAAACAATAGTATATATTTATAAGATTTATTCCACTTTACTCACAAATAATACACAAATATAAAGGCACTGTAAAAAGAATTTACAAACAAATCTTGATGTTGTACTGATGATTCTACAAACTTGCAGAGTCTAACAATAACAGTTTTGAGTTACATGCGGACAATGAGGATTGCAGTAGGCGTTGAAAAAGGATATATAGACGTGCAGAAGTTCAACTCATGCATAGAGGATGCTTTTCAGCTGATTTACAAGACATCCGTTAAGAGTCCCTAAACATAGATTGTACCGAGAAGTTAGATTTGATTGTACTCTGGCAAGATGACTTTATTCTGGCAAAGGAGGATTTTATTATACTTCATCATTTTGCATCATCAGGCTGTTTTTGCGGACATTGAGGATTGCAATAGGCGTTAGAAGGAAGATTGAATCTTTATCATAGAAAACAGAAGCAAAAGAAAATGATAGTCTGTTTCATATTGTAAAACTTTACCTTTTTTATCATATTTTTGCATGGAATTGATTGTTTCTATTATACATTCTGCATTGGTTCTCAAATGAAGAAGTTTGTCAAAAATGGAAACTAAATTCACATTCATCAAGATAATTTCCGAACACACATACCAATGAAAACAGCTTGCCACACATCCATGGAGTAGGGGTGCAAATGAGCCAATACGCTCATTAAACACTTACAAACAAGCCTCAATGCAAGGAATCAAACTACCCCCTCTCCCAACCTCTCATTACTTCTATCACAAAGGGTTTAAGGCAAAGCAGTAATTGGAAGTTGATAATGTATTATCACAAAAACAAGTTACAAGGATAAGCAAGGAATTCGTCAGAAGTTTGCTAAAAAGTCGAGTGAAGAGTAAGCCAGCCAGTAAAGAAGCTGTAATAAAATGAAGAGAATATTTTTTGTGATTCTAGAAAGTTGTTGTGCTTTCCTTTTTTTCTAGGGAGAGAACTCTTATTACAGCTTCAATCAAAATCCAGGTTAGAGCTATTGAGTTCTTAGCAATTGGTCAAAGCTCGGTCAATTCACATTTGTTAAGTTTATAAACAACCTCGAATAAAAATTTGAAATTCATTTTTTTTAAAATAAAAAAATAAATAAATAAATAAATAAATAATAAAAAAAACCAAGCTCAGATAACTTCATGTTAGACTAGTCAACATTTGTGAGCAACCCGCTTAAGTGCATTTGTAAGCATACTAATGTTGGAGTATAGCTAGATTAAATAATGTTCAATCTCGGAAAATAAAAAATCAACATTTCAAATTACTCTAGTATCTATTTATATTTTTAAATCAAAGGTTTCATTACACATGAATTTTTGGGAAATATGGCCCTTTTTACAGAAGTGATTCTAAAAAAACAAAACTCGAATTAGATTAGATACTTGTATAGAAACTTTAGAGAATTGTATTTAAGGTAATCTAAGGGTCATTTATTTTATCAAGTTGGAGATGAATCTTAAATTAAAAAGAGCATGTTTGTGAACAAAGCACGAAGAAGCAAAACTCTACATGAGCCATGTTCGAATAAGAAATTTCAAAGCTCGTTCAAGCTTAATTATACTTTAAAAGCAATAAACTTTATCAAGTTTACTCGAGTTGACTAAAAAACGGCTTGGCTTCATTAGGAGTAGATATGTGTACTATTGATTTAATTTAAAACTTGCTTGAATTGGGATTAATGCGTGTTAACGAGCAGCAAAAGAAGAACCAAAGAAAAAGGTTGTGGTGGTGGATAGGATTAGCGATGGATTGTGTAAGGAGGGTAGAAATGAGGAAACCATAAGTGTAACTTTGGGGTGATGCTTACGAGGCGTTTGCAAAAACAAAGGAAAAGGGTATTAAATCAAGAAAGGGATAGGATGGAAAAGGAGGGTAAGACCCTTAGAAGTTTGATTAAAGAGAAGAAAGGGAATGGAGTCATAGATGATGATGTAAACATACCCGCCCTAGAAATATTTAGAATTAAGTGAGATTTGACATATAGTTTGATTAAAAAGAAGAAAGGGAATGGAGTAATAGATTTAAGTTTACTAGTGCATTTATTTTTGTTTGCATTGATAGATGGTAAATGAGAGTGTTTGTGCATTCAAATTTTCATTTTTATTTGGGAATTGGTATATACGTATGTCAATGTAAAGATGTTATCGTTTTCTCTGCTTTATAATTAACGATTATAAGTTATTTTTTCTTGTTTTCCTGTAAATCTAGGAGCATGTCCGTCATCTGGAAGACACGCTGAGGATTTTCTTCTATTTGCTTTGACATTTAAAAGGGAGTTATTCTGGTTTATTTAACTCCCATTCCATCTGGTTCTTTGTTCTGATTTCCGGATAAGGCCCCGTTCTTTAGAGCTTCTTTGCTGTGCTGTGGTCTGCTGAAATCTGCTCTGCTGTGCTGAAATCTGCTCTGCTCTGCTTCAATCTGCTCTGCCCTGCTCTTCCCTGCTTAAAAATAGTACTTAAAAATAGCTGCTTCAATCTGCTCTGCTCTGCCCTGCTTTGCTCTGCCCTGCCTGCTCTGCTGAAATCTGCTTTGCTCTGCTCTGCCTAGAAGCTCAAAAGAACAGGGCCTTAGATTGTCAATTTTTCCACTAATCTTTAGCTCTTAGAACTATTGGGCAAAAATCTTCATGATCCATGGATACATTGAACTATTCAGCATAGCTTATTATGTACAAGAGGTGAAAGTCATTCAGCTTAAATCTTAAATCAAAATCCAAAATGAATTGGTAATTTGGATTGGGCTATTATTCAAATCAGATTAAATTGGACTCAAACTTCATAAATCAGTTATATTAATCTGATTGGATTGAGAATGTTTGGATCCATAAATCGAACAAACCGAAATAATTAAATTAATTAATTCTCTTTAAGATTTATAATATGTTGGTGTACTGTTTAACAAAATATATTTTGGTGTTATATTTTATGACTTATTTATTTAACTCTTAAGATGGTTATGTAGATCTTTAACACTTATGTATGGCATGTGGGTCAATGTTTAGGTTTGTAAGCATTAGTTTCCATTTCTTTAATAATGGAAAAAAAAAGGTTCATGGGTCATTATAATAAAAATAAACAAACAAGTATAACGAGAAGTTTTTATTAATTTTGATTTTTGCATTGGATCCAAATTAGCTAGTTCTAGAGCAAATTGGATCAAATTGGACTTGGTGAAATCAGGATTGGATTGAGCTCAAGTTCCAAAATGGTATTTATTTCAAATAGGATTGGACTTTTCCCATATCCAAACCAAAACCGAACTTCGCCCCTATTAGTAATAAGCAAAGTAGTCCTTCCACTATGTCATGTCACCGAAGATTTATGTTGTCTAAAGATAGGGAATACAATAAAAAAAGAGATCTTCAAATTGTTGCCTTCCCCAAGTCAGGCCCATTGCACTAAGAAAATCTTCCAAGTAAATAAATTATCAAAGAGTATAGATATCAAATAAGAAGCATCTCTACAGAAATAATGCATAATTTAACACAGTATAAATACAGGGCACTTTCGTGCTCTTTTCAGTAAAGTGTCCTTTTTTGTAACAGTCTTGAGTTTTTTTGTAAAAGTGTCCTATTGTCATAAGAGATAGGCAGCATGTTAAGAAGTAATAATCTAAGAATTTCGCATATATGTTAAAAAGCATTTCTCTAAACAAAAGATATTAGATATTCCACTCTCACCAGCACCTTAAATTTTGAAATTTGTTTGGCAGTCTAAAATTCATTTTAACTATAGCTATGTCGCATACTTACAAAGTTACAAGGACATCAACAAAGAGGATGGATTCTTAAATCGAAGCACAAATATAAGGGGTACATGCTGGGAGAAAACTAACAATAACAATGCAGATAGTTGCTGTACTTTAAAGTTTGGAATGAAAGCTACAACTCAGTAAGAGAGTTTGACAAACAAAAGAATAAAGTAATAATAAAAGATTTTTCCAGCAAGTAATGCTGCAAGCTAATAAATTTTGCAGAATATGCATTACAAGGGGCACCCTGCTACAATCAATAAATTCAAGACATTGCAAATCAACTTTCAATCAATAACTATTTTTATCAAATTATACTAGGTCCATTTTCACTTGATTTACATCATTCTTATCCACCATCGTAATTATACTTTTATTGAGTTTCATTCTGCCCGCCAGATGACCAGCTGAGGTAGTGGAAGGGGAGTGGGGGTCAGAGAATGATAAATAAAACGATAAAAAAGGAATCAGCAGTGCAAATACCTGTTCCCATATGATCCTTCTAAAAATGCATCCAGCTTAAAAGACTTCTTTTCATTTCCCTACTTGCTCAATGTAGGAGACATGATGTGAACAACCTGCTACACTGAAAGCAAAAGCAAACCATAAATGCCATGGAGAAAACACTGATCATTAGCCATTTATAGATCATTTTCCGAAGCAAGATAAGTTGTGATACATACTTGGTATACTTTAGAGTACATTGAATCTGTCAAATGAAGAATTTTGAATTTCAGGTCTGACTAGCGGCCAAAAAGATGAAAGGGAAACAACTAACGCTGGTAATGGAAACTGTACCATTCCCACATTTTGTTAAAGTTGAGGTCAAGCTTCAAATTGATGATTTGAGTCATTTGACAGAGAACTCAAAGCCATATATATCTTCTCTGTTTCAGGATGCAAATAATCACCAGCTTTTGTTAAAGTTGAGGTCAAGCTTCAAATTGATGATTTGACAGACAACTCAAAGCCAAATATATCTCCTCTGTTTCAGGATGCAAATAAGCACCAGCTATAAACTCATGATTAATGCCATGCAATTTGATCAAGCTACAAGCAGCATTCTTCGTGGTCCTCCTATTCCTTATGATACTCCGTGTCTTGGTAACATCATCCCACATATCAGATGTGGCATAGATATCCACCATTACTGAGTAGAGACCGCCGTCTTCAGGGTTCAACTTCTGCACATGTTTAGCTGCTTCCTCAGCAATGTCAACCATACCATGTTTTCTGCAGCCAGCCAGCAAAGCTCCCCAAGTATAGATATCACCTTGAATCGGCATGTGTTTTATCATATCTAATGCTTCTCCAATTAAACCAGCACGTCCAAACAAATCAGCCATGCATCCATAGTGCTTCAATTCTCGACGAACACCGTAGATAGCCTCCATGTTTTGAAAAAGTTTGTGTGCTTCATTTATTAGACCTGCATGGCTGCAACCAACCAAAATTCCCAAGATGCTGACACCATCAGGTTGAACTCCTTCCTTTATCATCCGGGAGAAATAATCCAAGCATTTTCTGCCATAGCCATGTACAGCAAGGCCCATCAACAAAGCATTCCATGTGAACAAATTCTTGTCAGGACTTGATTCAAATATATTTATGGCATTCTCAACATAGCCACACTTGGCATACAAGTCCACCAAGCCAGTCGATAAAAAGGAATCCACTCGAATCCTGTTTTGGATTAAATATTCATGAACTGCGCTACCTTGCTCCAGATCTCCAAGTTGTGCACAGGCAGAAAGAACAGAAACCAGAGCAATGTTATCTGGACGAACACCAGATGGCGAATTAAGCAAGCTATTGAAGAGATCAATGGCTTCCTGGCATTCCTTCATATGTGCATACCCAGCAATCAGAGTACCCCACGAGACTGCATCACGAATAGCCATTTTATCAAAGAGCAGACGTGCTGTCTCAATGTCTCCGGCCTTTACAAAGCCATCAATCAATGCATTATAGGATATAATATCTTTATGGGTACTTTCTTCAAACAACAAGCAAGCATCACCGAGGCTGCCCAACCTAGCATAGACATGAAGTATGGAATTGAGAACGTATATGTCAGAAATGAAGCCAGATTTCACGGTAAGGGAATGAAGGGCAGCAGAAGTTGAAGGTACTCGGAGATTAGTAGAGGCCTTGATGGCAAAAGGATAAGTGTGAAAGTCAGGAGGAATCGAAAAACGAAGCATATCTTTGAAGAGTATGAGGGCTGACGCAGGTGAAGAAAAGAGGTTCTGAATTCGCATCATTGTATTGTAGCAGAAAGTGGTTGGCGATCTGATAAGATTGAACACTGATACAGCATAGTTTGTCCTATTCGAAGGAGCTAGGACACAATTTGAAGCAGCAAGGCGGGCAATTGTGTATAGAATGTTTGGAAGAAGAAAACAGGGTTGTAGAGTGAGGAAGCCTGTAGTAATGGCATGTGCATGAACTTGATAAAGCTGGGGAAAGGTTTTACAATGCCTCAATGAATTTAATATGAAGTGTTTAGCCATTTACAAGATCACTTGTTTGTTACTCTCCAATTTCTACTCTGCATGACACAGACTATGATGATGAGTTATTCTTCACCAAAGATTAAGCACTCAAGTTCATTATGATGTTAAGTTTCCACCACTGAATAACAGCTGCCGTAAAGCTGCCATCTCCAATATGTAGTCTGACGCAAGAATGAAAGAGAAAATGCGAGTTGCATCCCTATCGTGACCAAGCAAAGGTTATTTCTATCATTATGCAGCATGGACACTTCTACAACACAGAAAAAGCAAAGTCTGGTTACATAAACGAAACAGAAGACATACCTGCAACCACATTATCCAGTATTAACAGCAAATGTAATTGGCTAGCTAGGCTAGACAGCAATTAACAAACATGATCTCCAACCCCTCATGTTTACCTATTGGGAACTGAATTGATGAGTGCAGGCTACTTTGCAGTGAAAAATACTAAACGAGATCCAATACAGGGGCAAGGTTGCAAATGTTAGCTTCATATATTCTTCCTAAGAGAAACACACACAAACACACATTTTCTTAAGCATGGCAAACTTATGTGAAACAAACACAAAACTAGAATTCATCAATGTTGAAGCAAGAAAAAACAGATTTGGAAATTTTAATCTTAACAGTATGAGAAAGTGGACATGGAGCTAATCTACACAGCCTACTCTATGTTGCAAAACCACTCCAAATTGAGCCATACTAATATACTACAGAGATGCACCTTTTTGCTTTGCAAGGAGAAATTTGAGAGCTAAGTGTCCTCCTCCTAAGCAAGCACATTCTAAGCTAAGTGGTGCTGCATCACCATAGTTAACATCAATAATTTCAAGCATGTACTTACTAACCAAATATAATACTCCTTTCTTTGCAGCCTGCTGAACAGCAACCGAGCTCTCTGAACATGGTTTGCTGAATATACATTCAAGACCATAGGGCAGATCACCACAATCAATGGTAACCCAGCCAGTGTAACCATGTCCTTCAACCCAAATAGCCTCAAATGGTGTAATAAAGGCAGTCAGTTATCTGCTCCAAAAGGGGCTGGAAAGGAATGGAAATCGTTTTTGTTTCACAAGCCATAGCGTAAGTTTAAAGCGTTACATTGAAACAATAATGCACCAAAACTAAAGGACGCAAAGATTTCACCCACGGAACAAAGCTTTGAAGGGCAAGCAAAACCCAAAAAATAGATTACCTACAACAAAAGAAGGTACTACAATCCATCTATAAATACCACTAACTTTACACAGCCTATACTAAGGGTCTGTTCTCTTCAGATTATTTTCAGTTCAACTCTAATAAGTTCAGTTCAGTTCTTAATTCCTTCTCTCATAAAATATTCACTTCAATAATGGTTCAGCTCTAATAAGTTGAGTTCAGTTTAGTTCACTTCAGTCAATCAGAAGAGGCCCTTAATCTCACTGGCTAATTCCTATGGCCATGCAAATCTAGTGTATAGAAACGAAAACCCAAATTCTTGCAAAACGCAAAATAGCAAAAAATGATGACACTGAACCTGCGGAAAAGCACCAGAAATGCAAACAAATCAACAATAGAAGCAGTGATATGCACAAAACCAAACATCCTTAACAGGTGACTACTGCATTTAAAAAATAAAAAAGCTGAAATATCACAAGCGCAAGATGTTGTAAGATCAAACCAATTGCCACAGACAGAGGAAACAAAGCTACAATTATAGAAACAGACACAACAAAAGCAAAACAATAACATAACAAACAACTAATTATATGTAGATAAAGAGCACTATATAACAAATCAAAAACTAACACTAACCCAATTTTACAGCATTTTAAAAAAAAAACAAATTAAACATCAATTAGAACAATACACAACAAGCTGCAATACTATAGCATATATTCTTACCTCAAAAACAACACGAAACGCCATTGGAGAAGACGAAATAGCCGTTAAAATTAAAAAAAAAAAAAAAAAAAAAAAAAAAAAAACAGAAAAAACCTTACCCAATAAATCTCCCATAGTAAGCCACTAGCAATCTCTCTGAGTCTGTCGCCCCAAATTGAAAGGAGCCATAAAACGCATCGTTTTGAGTTGGCGGTACTCAGCTTCTAACGCGCGTAAAAACGAGTCGTTTAATTGATTGGGCTTTTACAGGCCCATTTCCGGATTTAAAATTTAGGGTTTAATCTCGGGCGTAGTATTATAAATATACAATTCTGCCGCTTAACCAAATTCATTAAGCTTCTTTTCTTTAACGCTTCTACCTGATTTAAACTATTCTTCAAATAAGTATTTTAATTTTTTCTTTTAATCCTTTTATTTTTGTAATGTTAATGGTAGTTGGAATGGAGATGATGAGAATAATTTGTTGGAGTGATGATGGATTAATCCATCGTGTGATGTCTCCGCTACGTTCTTACTGATTCATATTCTACTAATCTTGGTCTCATTCATTCATTTTCAGTTTTATAATCTTATTATAGATTAATATATTTTGAGTTCTAGCAGACTATTTGACATCAGTTCTTAAATTTATGAAAAATAAATTTGTAAATTTGATAGGCGTATATGTTGAATGTTTAAATCTGTTCAAAAATGCAACTATTTTCCAATTTTGTGTTAAAAATTTCTATGGAGCTATTTGTATTTTTAAAAAAAATATAAATGTCCAAAAGTATTTTAAAATAAAGTAGTGCTTTTAGGTTTTACTTGCTAACTGCAAATTGAGAATTATGAGAAAGTAAGAGCTTAATTAATGAAATCTTGTGATTTTGGGTATTATTTAGGAAAATTTCTTTAGAATTACCCTAAAAATACTATTTTGTGAACAAATACCCATTTTTAAAAATATAACGATTTTTCGTCCAATTAAGTCCTACGGATTTCTACCGATGTATGGAAATAAATTTTGGATCGCTGCCTCAAACTGTCTTTTCACATCGTAATATTATGAACACTTCCTTCCCAACCGACATTTATAAATGTGTAAATTTCGATCACGAAATAACACACCATTGGTATCACCTACAATGGCATCGATAAGAATTCCATCCAAAGCTCCAATAGCATCGACATTTATAATTAATTTTATAATAAACATTTACACTTTTGACATTGAAATGTAAACAAGTGAATGTAAATAATGAAGTTATACCTTGAAATAAGGTCAATATCTTGTACTATTAGCTACCTATGGAGACACCTTGGAACCGAATGACAAATTAACCGAAATAGGATGCTTAAATTTGTCAGAAGCATCACGATATGAAAGTTCTTTTGCTAAAATATATAGACATATATACCTATTTGTTCTGCTACTTTCACATATTTACGGTGATGTAGTAGGTATCTTTCAATCATCAAGTTCACTATCTAAACAAACATATTTTGATCAAGTCTTAATTGAACATGACATTTCGTCGGAGTTTCTGTTAACAATCTACGTATATATTCAGACTGACATTATATTGAACATAGTAACCCTTAATTTTAACATAGTAACCTTTATTAAAACGAACGATTTTTCGAGGTATTGTTGAAATCAAAATTAATTCCTACTTTGCATTGTTTTAAAAACTTATTGCTTGAATGGTGTCCATCTAGGATTGGAGATAGCTTTTGTTTTTTTATTTGTTTATGCGGATATTAGCTTTGTTTTTTTACATTTAATGATTTACATGATACTAGATGACTAGTATACTACTGTATAGTAAAATACGAGTATAATAATGATAAAACTTAAATTTGGACCTTATATACAAAAAAAAAAAAAAAAAAAAAAAAAAAAAAAAAAAAAAACATTTTCTCTTACCACGTTCTTCTCTATCTTCCCATTTTCTCTCTCCTCTACTTTCATTCTTGTTTTTTTTTTTTATTGTAAACATCAAGTTTTCTTTGATCTTCTCTGTTCGTTCTTCCTCTCTCTAAACCCAGCTTTTAATTGTAATTTTGTTTTTATTTTCTGGGTAATTTCACAAAATTATGAATTTAGGGGAATACCTCAACATTCAACCTCAAGAACTCCAATTCCATGTACTTTTTTTTTCTTCCTGTTTTTCTTTGTAATTTTTTGCAGTAGGGGCTGTTAAAAAACTTGCAGTATAAATGATGAGATTATATCATATTATCGGTGGGATGGCTAACAAACTTGCAAAAAGAAACGCCAATACCAAATTAGCAATATTGGTTCTCCAAATACATGTAAAACCGCTATCATTAATTGCAGTTCTACTGTAATACCCGAATATTTTATGATTTTATATATTATATTTTATAAAAAAAATAGTTATTTTTATTTATTATATAATTTTCCTAATCTCATATGTTTATTTTAATGTTCGGAAAGATTTAAAACTCTATTTTGTTTATATATAACTCTACAATCATTAACTAGTTTAAACCCTATTTTATAAAACCCTATATTACCTTTCACCGCAAAGAGTGCAGCCAATTAAAAGAAAGAAACTTGTTTTCTTATACAATCTAGAATTGCTTCTGCGCATCATTATCATCATCACTTATTAGCATTATGATATAAGTGCTTTTGTTTAATCTAAAAACCAACATTTACGGATGACATAGAATTATGCAGATATGTGGTCTTCATTAATACTGTTGTCAGAGTGGCCGTTTTTGCAAGGTAATCACCCTTTGTTTGATCACATTAATTATTATATGTAATCACACTGACACACTCGGAGTGGTTTGATAGTATTTTGGTTGTGTTGCTTATTATGTGTAATCTCACGAAATTTTGGGATGCTTGTATTATATTTCGTATTATTATGTGTGATATGATTTATTATCTGTACTCTGTATTATTATTATGTGTAGATTTTATAATCGTAATTTGTGTGATCAAGTTTGTATATGTATATGATTGATTATTGGTATTATATGATTTGATTAGATATGAGAATCGTATTACTTTTATTGTTTATGATTAATTATTTCTAGGGGTTTTTAACATTGTTGTTATAGGGAGTATTGTTTTATCGAGGTTTTAGGGTTGTTAATGCAGAGTATTATTTTTGGGTTGAGAATTAATTAATTTTGGGTATTAGTATTAGTTCTATAAGAGTTGAGATATTTGATGAGCTGAATATGTTGTCATATATGAATTGGGAACCTGTGCCAATATTGAGATATTATCTATTAGTTGTGAATGATTATTTGATCGATGTATGAGATCAAAAGGTTGAGAATATTATTTTATTTCTTGGTTTGAGGCTCGGCGTTATAAACCTTAGTTCTTGGCATGTTGGTAAGGAGATGGTAATCATGAGTTAAGAATGAGGTACAATCTTTATTATTTATTTTTCTATGGTCCCCTACAGTGGGAATTGACCCGTATGTGGTCTGGTTCAAGGTGTTTTCTAGTTATTGGGAGTATTCAAGTTTTTATACTTGTTGGTTTTATTCGAATTACCCATGTCCAAGGCTAGGTATAAAACAAAGAGCATGACACACTATTGGCTATGAGTTGAGTAAAGGTTCGTACTATTATTTGAGGTTGAGTTGACAAAGGTTATTTTCATGAGTACAATGTGTAATGTAGTTTCAAACTACATTGTTTAATTGATCAAGTAATGTTAATTATTATATTATACTCTATATTCTGATATGTGGTGATTACTCAGCTTTTGCTGACGTGTGTGTTGTTTTATTGTGCTATTTGTGTTTGCGGCCATGTCTTTTTCTTATGGTGGCTCTGCGACGATCTATTTTGGAATTTGTCCTTAATGGTGAGCAGTCAAGTTTGTATAAGCAGGTTTGATCAAGTGATTGTAGCTAAAGGGAGCTCAAGTGATGGATTAGTATGCTATAACGATTTGTAAAAGTTGTAAATAGCTCACCTAGATTATTGGATTGTATTTATTGGGATTTTTGTAAGCCTTAACGCTCGACAGGCTGTTGAGTGTGGCGGTAATACCTCCGATTTAGGAGTATGCTTCCGCAATTTTATTCAAATGTTGTTTATTTTTTTCCTTTAATTTTTATTTATTTCCAGTTAGTAAATCGGGGGTGTTACATCTACTCATAACCAAAAAAAAAAAAAAAACAAAGTTAATATCCAATCCTACGTGGACATCATTCAGGGAATAAGTTTTTAAAACAATGCAAAGTAGGAATTAATTTTGACTTTAGCAATATCTAAGGAAATTGTTCTATTAAAACTTGTATAACATTTAATATTATTGTGAACTTGAATACAACGTTATAACCCTAATTTTAACATAGTGACCTTTATTTTTCATATTGACCAGTATATAAAATATTTCATTAAAATTTTTTACCTCTTATAGCCTATATATTACCAAAATAACTTTTATTTCAACATAA